GTTGAGATGGGGATGAATAGGCAAATGGTTATTGTAGAATTTTTATTGACTTCTATGATAGTCTCAGCTGTGATAGAGGAATTAATAGTAAAAGTAGGAGCTGCTGTGGAAGGATTGAGCCTGTGGAAGAATCTGAGCTGAGATGCTGAACGTCAGTTCGGTATGATATATGTGGTAAACTGAAAAAAAATTCAGAAAAAGAAAGAACTATAGGAGAGAGAGAAGCCAAATTTTAATGCTCCGTAGACAAGTTCCCTAAAAGAAATTTTAAGGGTGAAAACAAGCATGCTAAGTAATCAAGAAAGATGTGGCATTAGTGATAGACAAAAGCCAACAAAGGGAACCCAAGCCAGAGAAGGAACGGGTGTTGATGGCCTATCTTCTTGCCTGGAAAAAACTGGCATGGGAAGTAGGGAAGCTAACAGAAGATCCTCACCAAGGTTTTGGTAAGAGGAGATGGTGTTTGATGGAAGGAAAGTCTAATAGAGATGGCATTACAGGAAAGGAAGAAGATATCAGTAAAAGACAAGTGTCTAGGTATTTTGCTGAGAGGAAAGGTTTAGCCAGCAGAAAGACAAAAAGAAAATGCTTTTGGCAAATTCCCTGTTTGTAGAAAAGGTGATGCTCAGGAAGGCATTTAGTGTAGCTGGGAAGAGGAAGCCGTGAAATGAGAGTGATGAAGAGTCAAATTGTGCAGCTAAGTAGGGACCAGGTCAGGCCTTATCATAGTTTAGCTTGTATTGTCCATGCGCTCGTGAGCAAAACACACACTTTCATCTCAAGTGTCATTCTGGAGGAATCTAAGACTTGCTCTGCAGTTAATTTTGCTTTGTGTGCATAGAGAAGCGTTAACATTTGGTGGGCAGCTGGACATCCGTAACTTCCCTTTTGTGTCTAGATTTATCTGTCATGCCGTGTCTGTTGCATGCAGTTCATTACGTTAATTGTAGCAGACAGTTAACTACAGGCATAGCAAGTTTGGGAGACAGTGATGTCCTGGGAGCTACCATGAGGTGATACAAGCAAGTTGAAATAATGGCTAAGATGGCTCCATTGACCATGCTTCAGTTAATCTTTCACTGTATACAGCTGGATTTTTGCTTCTATAGTTCTCTTATCTTTGCTATACTTCGTAGTTAGGTTCCAAATTTCTTCTGGGAAGACAGCAGTAATCTCTGTCAAGAAGCAGATACTTTCATGTGGGTTTCCCACTGGAAAGATTTTGCACAAATCACAAGTGCTTAGCTCTTATCCATCTAGAAGACAGGTTTTGGTTCTTCCACCCATCTCTCTCAACAGATGTGCTAGGATAAAGTAATTCCCATGCTTAAAAAGAAGTTCTATCTGCCTCTCATGTAAGCAGTATTATATACCATTACTAGCAGAGAGCCAACATGAAGCTGTGAAGTAGGATTTGGAAATGTCTTTTATGGCCCTGGGAATTTCTCTTGTTCCCCCTCTGCTCCCCTTGGAGGGAGATACTTCTCTCCTGTTACACTGGAGTAAGCTCAAGTGTCGAATTCAGAAGCTAAAAATCCTCTGCCCTTCTGTGAGCAGCAACTTTCTGATAACTGCTAAGTGCAAAATTCTGCAATTCAGTGTGAGAAGGGGTGGGAGCTGAAATGATGCCCTTGAAAATTTATGTCTGTTAGGAGGAAGAGTAAAGAGCGAGAGCGAAGATCTCTCCTCCTTGTTTTTTCATAACGTGCCTCCAAGGGGGAGGCTTCAGGGAGGATAAAGGGCTTTTGGGTGTTGGGCCGCCGTCGCTATGTTGGCTAAAGCTTCATGAAACCTAATGCGTGGTTTCGACAGAAGAATCACAACTGTTGGAAGGTTCCAGTGACCATGACAGGCCTCGACAGGAGTTATTCTAAGAACACAACATATGATCAGGTTACTGAGGGGCACTTTGCATAGTCCTAAAAAATGAACCATCTGACAGCGTGTGACAGCTCTGTGTGCCCCAGCGGCGGGAGCAGTGGCTTTCGCTCACCCTGGGTGGTGAAACAAAGCAAGCGCTTTCCATGCTCTGTGAACCAACAGCCTAACAGCAAGGTAGTGTCTGCACACATCTAATTTCTGATAAGGAAAACAAAAGACATTTAGGACTTGCTTATTTTGCAGTTTTATATATACATTTTTTTTTGGTAATTTATTACCTTTCTGCTGGGGAGATTGTTAGATGGGGCAAGTTGCATAATTGTCTTTAGTAATGTGGTGATAATGGCTTTGTTGGGTCACCTGCTTTCACCACCAATATCTTTATTCCCCAACTCCTCAGTCTTCTTCAGTGAAGAATGTGGCATGAGAGAGCCTTGTAATATTGGCTGATACAATGGGCAAAACAGCCTTGATTTGAGGAACTCCACGCTGTTGAATTTGTTGCCAATTAACCTGAACTTTTATTTCCGAGGAAAGACCTTTTCTTTCCCTTCCCCAGCTTCAGCTTCAGTCCACCACCTCTCACCCTGCCCCCTTCCTAGCCTCAGTCCCTTGTTTTTGCTCAGTCCTTCCCAGTTCCTTTAGCTGAGGCAAGGGGCAGCACAGACGGCTGGGGGCAGCTCATAAAAAGGTTTATTTCTGCTGCTCCTTGCTTCTTATTTTCTTTCTTCCACTGCCGCTTGCCTCTTACTGCTCCAATGTGAGTTCTATGTTTCTCTTGGTGCATGTATATACATTCCTTCTTTATAGATAATGGGGAATGAGGTATGAGGTATTTCCCCTTCTAAGATATGTTGAACTGAAGCCTTCTGAGCTCTGGCTTATGCCAGCAGCTATGGCAGCCATGCCTTTTTCCCATCACTCCTGTTGTTTCCTACTTTGTGAATCTCATATGTGTCCAACGGACAGAGGCTTTGGAAAGCTGTAAGAGCTATTCTGGGCCTAGAAGAAAGTGGTACAAATGAACATTACTAGCAATTAGTCTCAGCTTGTGAAAATGGTTACATGAGCTGTCAAAACAGACAGGTGGAAGGTAGCATAACAACATCTGGTCCAGTCTAACTGCCCTGTGCATGTGATGGTGCTATGCTGGAAATATGGGAACTGAAGAGATCAGAGTGCTACATGCTGGGCATTGTGTTGCTGACACAGAAATAGTTCTTGATTTGTGTATAGAGGAGCTGGGTTTGTCCTCTTTTCAAAGCTATGGATCTGATTCTTCTACTAGAGGAACAGGAGGGCTTCTGTAATTGTATCTTTAGGAACAGACTAAGTTCTGTGAGTCTGTAAAATGTTTTCCCTCCTTAACTGTGCTTTGGTTACATTTCATGAACATGGCATAAATGCCATCATAAATGTTTTCATTCTTCTGTTTCCGAAACAGATGGAATTAGGGATTCTGCTAGAACTTCTATAAAGGTGTGGGTGATCAATCTCTAGCACTGAGTCCTTCTTTGTATTCAGTTTATTCAGAGGTTGAGTTAAATAAGGGTTTAAAGTAAAAGGAGGTGACAACTCTTTTGTGAAATATTAAATTTAAACTATCTGAATAAAAAAAAAACTCTTTTCAGGGCTTGCTTTCTTGATTTCTGTGATGTTCTCATGTACAAGTTCCCTATTCACTATTTAAGTATTTCATATTTTTTTAACAATTTCTTTTAAATGAAAGAGATCAGACCTCTGTTATAAATACATTTTACAAGAGCTGTGACTATTCCTACCAGATTCCGTAAGCAGTTGCAGACATGTAAGATTTCTCACAACCTTGCACTTCCCGCTCCAGCTTCTTCCAGAGGTACCGCATCACTGCTAGTGTGGTCAACACAGGTGTATTTTTTACAAAACTTCATTTTTCTTTCACATTTCCTGCCTTCCAAGATCAGCCTCAAGGTCACATGTGCAACTGCTGCTTTTCCGTTTCTGCTGTTTATTCCCCTGTCATGCTCTTGCTGTTCAAGGGAAGGGAAGAGAATCGGAATATCCGGTCGGACTTGGCACATGGGAGCCAGTTTATGGAACCTGCATAGTCTGCCTCATGTCTTGGTATACCTTCTCCAATAGTATTATAGTGTTAGCTGTGAATCAGACTCTAGGCTTTATTCTCCTGTTTGCTGTTGAAGTTGTCAGTCTTCTCTTATCTACTTTTTATTTTCTGATTTTAATTCCTGGTCCTCAGTTTTCTGCTCTTGTTCCAAGCAGTGTCAAGTTCTCTACCGGTGACCTCTTAGCTTTATATTTCATTACTCATTTTATTGATAGTTCTGATACTGCAATTTCCCTCATTTGTCACCATGATCATCTTCTGTTTGCATCTCTTCACTGACCTTTCTTTCTTTCTTGCACTGAATATATTGCTGCTTGTCTTAATTTCCCTGGGCCCTAAAGGGCCTACTCTCGCTTTGGCATTTCTTACAATCAAGATGTAAAACTTTCAGCCTTCAGTACCACTTGTTTTCTGTTCAAACAAGTTTTGCTTTCTGTTTCATCTATCCCAACCTGTGCCCCACTTTCCTGTTCATGGGAGCTCCCTTTTAACTTACACAAAGCTAGGCTTCCTTCTCTATATCTCTTTTGAAAAATGATCTTTTTCTGTATTAACTACAAGAGCCTGAAAACACTTCATTCACTGTGTTATGTAGCACTGATAAATACCATCTGTTTGCATGTACTTCTGTTGTTTTTTATTGTTTATTTTCCTGTAGTTAGATTCTGAGTGCTTTTAGGGCAAGGAGCTTTCTTTGTTCTGTGTACTGGTGGTCCTGATCCTTGCTTACAGCTTCTATACAACACAGCAACATAAGTATTAAACAAAGCCTCTAATTCCCATTTTTACTGATAATTTTAAGCTATGCAGATGCAAGTTAGGAAATAAAACTTCCAGATAAAAGTCCTGCTTCTAAAGCTCTGGCCTCTACCTTGTGAACTGAATGAATACCTTCCTAAAATAGATGATGACGTGCATTGTCTCTCTGCTGGCCTCTATGATAGAGAGTTCCATTATGTATCTTTTGCCTGGACTCTTAGCTCGCTAAACTTGTGTTGACATTATTTCTCTGTTCCAGGCCGAAATGAGCTGATCGCCCGCTATATTAAGCTGAGAACAGGGAAAACGCGCACAAGGAAACAGGTAAGTGGCAAGCTTACCCTGTAAACATTAGTTGCTTTGTGCCGCTTTACACAGAGAGGGCTTATGAGAACTTATCCCTTTGCTGCTCATTTGCTTTTAGTTTCTGACTTTCTTCAAGAGATTTTTGTGCTGGCTAACCAGCAAGAGAGCTGGCTAGTAAGAGCACTGGGCAGAGTCGCACATTTTATGATTGTAGCGCGACACTCACTCCTTCCAATTGCATTACGATACACAATATTTTCTGCTTTTAAGCAATGTGCAGTTTTATTTATCTGGTCTACTAATGAGCATTTCTGTGACCATCATTGTGGCTTTCTATAGCAAGGTTCATTCTTCATCCCAGATGATGAAGAAATCAACAGCAATGTTGATTTTCAAATTACTTTGTACAAACGAGTTTTATGTGATTTGGCAATGACAGGCAAGGCAATGCTGGAAAATTCCTGAGCAATCTGGACCTGCTTTGAGTAGGGTGTTGACTGTATGGCCTCCATAGATCCTTCCAACTTAAATTATTCTATAATTCTATGATGCGTTTCAGCCCAGACTAGATACAGAGAAATTTTGAGAGTCGCTGTATCATTATACAGATGCAGAATACGGATTATTCTTCTCCTAAGAAAAGGCCAAACTGAGGAGCGAAGAGATCAGAACTCTCAACTCCCACTTTTAGGGGTGGGCTCCTCAGTGTTAGAGAGATCTCTGGATTGATAAAGCCATTTGAAATGAAAGAGGCCTTAAATGGTCCATTTCTGCTTCTTCCTCTTCTCACTTCATGACAGTTAACATGTTCAGAGAAGCATTTCACTGGAATCTCAAACTAACTAAAATAGAAAAAGAAAACCTTAAATGAATCCTATTGTTAAAGGTGCCCAAGGCATGTTGTTTAGTTCTGCAAGAGCTACCAACTACCTCTCTGGAATGAAGATGGATTTTGTCTTTCGATGCAGGTATCTAGTCACATCCAAGTCCTGGCAAGGCGAAAAGCTCGAGAGATCCAAGCCAAACTCAAGGTATGATATGTATCCTTTAAACATATCTTTCAAGCACTCCAAGTCAGCTATTCCCTCATCCTTTCGTTCCTTGAGTAACCCCAGTAAAGGGTGAGATCAGCACAAACTGTGGTAAGTTGGTTAAGAAAAGCACATATTTGTATTGCTGAGGCTCTGTGACATCTGAGACAGTTCTATTTAAAGAATAAAAAATGATACCTTTAATTTTGATGTATCTTATTTTTGCCTCTGATGCTGTGGTCATCCAGGTCTGAGACTCTCTGGGAGTATTCTGGGGAATAAGGGAAGAGTGTTTACTTGAGAAGGATTGGGGGTTATGGTTACAAATGCTGGCCAATTGTAGTAGCCTAGGAAAAGGGTAGTCTTACAGCTACTGCAGCACTAGTTCCATCTCTAATACTGGTAATGCTGTGGACTTGTCTGCAAGAAATAGTGTCCTGAGTTGGCGTAACCACTGGGAGGAAGTAACAAATCCATCTGGCATCTTCTTAGGGAAAATGGTGCCAGCTGAGTTGACTTTGCCCTTTGATTAATTCAGGCTTGGATTTGAAGATGCCAGGGTTGATCAGAAGAAAAATGTCTGAGTTCTGCTCACTTGCTTAAGTAAACCCTTGTGTTTTTCTTTCCATGGGAAGAGCTTGGAGAATGCGCTGAGGAACCCCATAGCTCTTGACATTTGCTCAGAATGAATTGATGTAAATGTCAAGAATATGAAGCTTACGGGTGCAATTGCACAAGAGAGTTCTCCCTGCTAGAATGTGAGCTGTCCTAAAAGGGCCTGGTGAGCAAGATGAGAGGTCCAATCCTTGTTACGTGTCATCAAGATAGCTAGGAAAGGAAGGTGCGCACTGAACTTCCCTGTTTGGTATGCCAATAGATGATCAGGAGGAAGACATGTTTCCTGCTGTGCGTGATGCACGTTCGTCCTGATGGATGATTATGCTTCGGATGATAACTATAGTCTTGACAGACCTGCTCAGCCCTAACTATTCAGTGGACAGTTGCTAGAGGTGCTGCTTCTTGGCTATCTGGGCCATTTCTCAATTTGGCCTCTTGAGGAGTGGACTTTTCTGTAAGCAAACAGTTGGGACTCCCTCCTGACCAGTGCTGAATCGCATGCACCTCTGTTATGAATTGTGATTACCTCTAATACTCGTGACTTTATCCCCCCATCTCTTTCCTGGCTCCATTTTAGAAAACAGTGCTGTGCTTCTAATTAGCCTGTCGTGTTTGCAACAGCTCCGGTAAGGGAAAGAAGCTACAAATTACAACTGGCTAAATCAGTGCTTCTAGGGAGGGCTGCCTAAGCCTGGAGCCTGTGGTGGCCTTAAGCAGTCAATTCAAGTAGAGGCCTGCTAGAAAGGCCAGCTAGAGTGAGTGTGAAACAACAACTACCCAGGACATTAAAAGATTTAGTGCTGCTTATATCTGTACCCTTGGTTCTGTTCCTTGCACCTTACAGCTCTGTGATTTGGCATGATTGGAAAGCTAGCCTGCTGAGCCCGTTTCCACTTAGCACACAGGAGCAAGGCTTTTTTGTTCTCAGGGAAGGAAGGTGTCTCAGGCAGCTCCATGGAGCCATTGGTCATTCTCATTTTACACTACTTGGGGGCATGCTGTGAGTTCTGCCCAGCTACCTACAGCGAACCAGTCCTCAGTACCAGACTGTTCCTTTCTGCTTGCAAAGGCAAGTCTGTAGCACTGATTCAACTCATTTACTTCTTGCTTTCCTTGGTAATTTTCATAGAGCAAATGAAATCACAAAAGCTGCTGCCCTTCTTCCAAGTTCTTGCTGACAGCTATGTGTTCTAGCATTTTTCACTTCTCACATCAAGTACACATTTTTGTGTTTATACCATAGAGAAAACCGAACAGTGAATGATAGTTAAAATCTTCTCCCTGCTTAACTGCTCATATTTTTACTTTCAGAATTCTACAGGTGATTTTATTGCTTCTTCCCATAAGCTCAGGTAGAAAAAAATATTTTCCTTTACTTTCAAAGGAAGTAGTCCTTGTCCAGATGTCATGAAATAAAAAGGAAGATTACTTTCCCTTTTAAAAATGCTGCAGGTAAGCTTTAAAGCCCTACAGCACAATTTAAACTAGATTCTGAAAAACTTTCCTGTAGCTTTGGAAAGTTTAGGATTTTTCTCAGTAGTTAAAATTTTTCCCTTCCATACATTGGAATGGTACCAACAGGAGCCACAGATGTTTAGGAAAAAAAAAAAAAAAAGGTAGATATCCAAGTCGTGGTCATTTTTACAGATATTGCGGCCATATTTTGCAGATCATAAAAGCAGAGTCTCTGAAGGAGGTAAGATTAGTTTTTGCATAGGAAGAAAGGCAGGAAGTTCTTCTACATTCCCTTTTCTTGATATATAAAATGAAGAATGCTTTTAGTTTTAAACATACATTAGACCTAGTTGTTGCACTGTGTCATTGTTTCTAAAAAAAGCGTGCAATTCCATAGCCATGTTAAAATACAAAATGTAATACAAAATAGTCATCACGTGTGTGCCCTGAGAGAGTGCCTGTTTCCCCTGATCAACTCTACCTGAAACTAGTGCAATCCCAAATTGAGCCTGTATTTTTCCAGTCATGGTGACAAAATCCTTCAGTTTAAATAGTGAGGTAGTTTTTAGTGTTTCTTTAATGATCAAGCATCTTTCCCATTGAATGTTCTTATCAGTGATTAAAACACAGGAATGGTCCCAGCATTTCAGAAGGGAAGATCAGTCATGTCTGAAACTGTAGGAATGCTTAGCTTTGAAGAATTCTTATGACCGTTATAAATCTGCTGTCCGGGTTTTCGGAGATGCTTATTTCCTACAAAGAAGCGGGTGAGAAACCCTGGTTATACAGCATTAGACCAGAAAATGTATTTATTATTATAATCTTTTTTTTTTTCTCTTGACAACAGGATCAGGCTGCTAAAGATAAAGCCATGCAAAGTATGGCTACAATGTCATCTGCCCAGATTATCTCTGCAACAGCCATCCATAGTAAAATGGGCTTGCCTGGTCTCCCACGACCAGCCTATCCTGCTGTTTCTGGGGTGAGTGAATCAGAGACTGGGAGGTGCTGCGCAGAGCAGTCTAGAGTATTTGAAAGGGCGTTGGGATCTGCATAGAAACATCCTGGGTAACATCAAAAGAATGAGACCAAAAGACAGTGTCTTTGTAGAGCAAACCTATCATGTGGCTGCATCAGTTCACACTGATGTAAAGCAATAGAATTTCACTGTATGCTTTTTCTAAAATGACACAAGTGAGAGAAGAATGAGATGCTTTGGGTTTTCAACTGCCTGAAATATTTTTAGGTCTCTGTATCCCTCTCTCAGTCCACAATCTTGTTGCATAAAATGGTTTGAGCTATCCTGACTCTTTGCCAAGTTCACCATTGCAACAGTGTGGTTGTGAATATGTAGATTCCAGATTCATGACCACTGCATAAAACCTTTGAGAAGGCCTGTCAGCATAGCCTAACCTTGAAGCTGGGCCTGGTGAGCTTTGCTAAACACTGATTTCTGCCAAACTACTCCTATGAGATTCTTCTGGAGAAAATGTTAGATGGGAGGTATCTTAAAGACTCTGGAGACTTAGCCTAAGGATGCATGCATAGTCTTTAACATTAAAACTGCTATTGAGTCAGTCACTTGCATTCACTGCTAGAAGTGTATAGACAGAAAGCAGCAGGGACCAGGCAGCATCTCCACAGGGATGAAAGCAGGAAGACAGAAAGGGAAGATAGGGTTAATCAGCCATTTTCAAAGTCTGGGAGCTTGCAGTTTTGTCAAACAGAAGTAAGCCTTGCTTTTCATCTCAGGCCTGAGGGTGATGACTTTTGTGTCTATGTTATTCTCTTGTAGTTTTGGCAAGGAGCTTTGCCAGGCCAAGCCGGATCTTCCCAAGAGTGAGTATTCCTTCCCCTGAGCATTTGAAGCAGGTGTTCTGCTACTGCATGCTTCCTGAAGAATACTGTTAGCTAATTCAAGATTTAGGAATTGCTAAGATAATGTAGTCTTTGTTCTCAGACAAATAGATTCCCTGACCATGGATCTGAGATTTGAGGCCTCAGATAAAGCCAATTACTTTCCTACAGTTCCTTCAACATGGGTAACACCCCTTTCAGATGTCCCGTGCAGCCTGTTATGGGATTATATTAGGGAGCTGCCCCATCTGGCAGCCAGGTAGAGGTGAGGCTGCCACAGATCCGTGCCCCAGGTGCAACCAGTAGCAAGGCTGGTGTGCATTCTCAGTGGGCACACACACCTACATATACAGTACACTCACATACCCACACTGCCAGCTACCAAGATGAACACAAAGAGAAACAGTCCCCAGACACAGAAACAGCACCAATGGCCTCATCTTGTTCTGTCTGATCAGGATGAAGGCCCATAAGGGAAATATATACATATATGCAAGGTGGATCCCTCTAGCAGCTGGGCTTCCTAAACCCTCAGTCTATGCCATAACTGACCCCCAGATCCCTGGTCTCCCCAGCTGCTGACACCTGGGCATGCAAGTCCCCGAGGCCCACAGCGCCACTCCAGTAGTTGATTCTGTCTCCCTCGCTAATGGACACACAAACCCGTGTCCCCTACACAGCAATAAACACACACTATGCATTCCCCGGGTTGCAGAGTCCATCCAGCAGGTGGTCCTGGATCCCCCATCTCCCCAGTGGCTGGCACTCGAGCATGCAATCCGCCAGTCCTGCCGCCCCACTCCAGTCGCTGGACTCACACGCACGTACACACATGTTCATTGTGGATTCTTCCAGTAATTGGGCTTACATACACAGTCCATCCGGTAGCCGGCTTGGGGTGCTTGTTCCTCCTATTTGCCTCCCATACAGATGGACACACACCCCCACACACCTCTCTGCCAAATCCAGGTCCCGCAGTCTCTCCGCCAGTTAACCTGGTGGTCTCTTTGGTAGCCAACTGCACCAGATGCTGGCTCCCAAGCCCTTGACCTGCCTGTTGGCTAGCCCATCTTGCTGTTTGCTAGTGAGCACAGACTGACACACATACTTTCACTCATTGCAGTTGCTGGGCCCTGTGCTCTCCACTCAGTTTAATGAGATTGCAGGACAGACTGCATTGGTCAGGCCCTGGACATGGCCAGACAAGCTTACGGATCAAGCAACCTGTTCTTATGCAACTAACACCTTTTACAGCTTTGATTTTCCTACATTTGTTCCTCCCAAAACCACTTTAATCCCTCCCTTTTACCACCTTTATTTCCTCCTCTAAGCCTCCCATAATGTCTCATGCACTCCTGAAACACATAGCCCTATTCAGGAGAGCCCCATGTGTGTGTCTCAAGGGATCAGGAGAGCTGCTTCTGTAGACAGATCTGGTGGGTTTCACTCCTGGACCCTGAGTCTGGTGGCTGTCCTAGAACCCCCTGGGAGGGCCTGGGGCAGGACTCATGTCTCTGAGGGGATTATTTGTGTTCTCTTCATGGTCCTTTGTGTTTGTGATGATAAGCCTATTCTGGGCTGATGGCTTTTCTGTGATGGGTCTGGGAGCAGCTGAGGAAGGGTGATACTCAGGTTCCCACCTGCTTTTGTTCCTCTGGGCCCCTTTAGGGCTGTGGAGATGAGCTGTTTATGACTTAACCTAGCAGAACAGGGTCCTGGAACCACTTCAAGCCAACTAAAGTACAGGCTGCTGAGACGGAGCCGTGTTCTGTACCCCTAGCCATGTCTCCCTGTTCTCTTCTGTTATTGCAAATATTTGTGGGGTAGATCAGGGAACAGATCCTGTTCAGTGATCTTGAGTGGGAAATTGGTTGGTAAATGGACTGGAGCATTTCTGAGAGAAATGAAAGGGGAATTGGGAAGGGGCAGCCTGAAAAGTTGTTTTACAGGCTCAAAATAGGTGCTGCCCCTGAGGTCAGATGTTATCTTTAGGTGCATTTGGTTTTTTATCCCCTACAGTGGTAGTAGAATGGGGCTGAACAGTCTTGACTGTTCATTATCTAGACTACATTATCTAGGTTCAATTGTGGATGTTGTTGAATAGCCCTGAAAATCTGGGTCTGAAAGTCTGGGTGGAGTCCAACCTAGAAATATACCCACTTGCATGCATTTAAATCCATCCAAAGGTAAAAGGAAAAAGGAAATAAATGGGACCTAGTGCCTTTGTTGACAGGCTGAATAAGGATTTCCAAATAAAAAAATTGGAGATGTTGCTATATATCTGGAGGGAAGGCTTACTCAGTCCAACCCAGGCTGGTTTTGTTTCTTCAGTTCTTGTCCTGACCCTGTCTTGCCCACACAGATGTTCTTTCCCAAAGCCATTTATGCTGATAATACTCCTGCTTCCATCAGAAGAAATAATTTTATTTGAACAATTGCACAATTTTATTTTCCTTTTATTTGTGTTACTATTAACCATCTCTCTTTTATGTTTCTGTAGTGTGAAACCTTTTTCTCAACAACCCTATGCTGTTCAGCTTCCATTACCAGGTGAGTAAGGAAATCTAGTACCTTGCATTGAAGTTATAGTCTACTTTCAAAAAATAGCAAATGGTTTTAAATGAAGTTCAAGAACAGCTAATTTTTTTAAAAAATGGTTCTATAGAAATCTTTGAGTGAGCTCAAAAATTGTATATGATTTATCTCTAACTTCCATCGTTGTACTGTGAGGTGAAAAAATATTTTGTATTTCGGCCCTATTTTGAATAGTAGTTTTTCCTCTTTTTTCTTGGTTGGTCATTTTCTTTTCTCCCTGGCTCAGTAGAAACTATGAGTTCATATATCTCTCCTTCCACCATGCTGCATCTGCTGGAATACACTGGTTTTCATCATAATACTATTGCCTTTTTAGTGCCTGGTTAAGTGGGGCTTTTCCTTCTGAATTCCCCTATTTGAGAGGCTAATGGTGATGTTAACTGTGATGAGTCATTCTCTGTGATACCTAAGGGCTCAATCAGACTCATCTTAAAGTTGGTAAAAGTGTTTTATCTGGTTTCAGAATCAGCTAGATTGGCTTTTACATCATACCAATCCTATCCTAGACAAGGATAACTGACAAGCTGTTTAGAGCACAGGTGGAGAGCGATCCTGTGAATGTTATTTTTGCGTGAAGACTGAAGTCATGAAATCTAATTAGTCTGCTCTGACAACAGGTGCTTTACTGGAAAGCTGTTACCAACTTGTCTCTTTCTAAATTTTGTTATATAAATCCTCTGTGCTTAGGGTTTGAGCCTCCTACTGGTCTCTCACCATCCCCATCAGCACCAGCTTGGCAAGGACGAAGGGTTGCTAGCTCCAAACTGTGGATGTTAGAATTCTCTGCATTCTTGGAACAACAACAAGACCAAGACACAGTAAGATATGCACCTGTCTTCCACACCTCATGTATTTTTGGTCTCCAGGTAGCTTCCATTCATCATGGATGTGTTATGCGCTACTACTGTAGTGTATTGTATATGTGGAAATACGTGCTTCATTGATCTATTCTCTGGTTGAGAATAGAAAGACATTTTGAGAAAAACACAGAACACAGTTTAAACAGATATTCCACTTAGAGGACAGAATCGCTTAAAAGCAGTATAGCAAGCTCTGTTCTCTGTTTCTGACCTCCTGCTCCAGTGTGTACTGGAGTTCAAGGAACTGAGATCATAAAAGAGTTGTACAGCTTCTGCAGGGCTATTCTTTGCCTTTGAGGACAGACTCAGAATCAGAGGATGGTAAGATCACATGAAGCAACATGCCATGTCTCTGCTGTGTTGAGAAGAACTAAAGTTATTTGGGGGCAGCTGGGATGAATTTACATCATTGTGTTTCCTTGGGGCCATCTATAAAATGGGAGTAATAAGAGCTGCCAATCTCTTGAAAGCCTTGTGATGCTGCATCTTGAGACATACATTGGTGCTGGGCCAATTATGCTTCCTGTCTCCAAGACAGGAAAACTGCTGTTCAGAAATGAATTTGGTGCCAGTATTTGGCTGGTGTGCTGCTGTGGGATTTCAAGCAGCACTTCACAGGACAGGAAGTTTTGATGCTTGCTGGCCGAGTGATCTGTGACAGGTAACATTCTGCATCACTGGGTATTTCTGTATCGCACAGCAGCATGAGGCAATGGCTTAGGAGTAAACATGGGGAAAAAAACCCAAAACAATGTTTCATACAAAGTAACAAATATAGGTGTATTGACAGGAAAGAAAGAACTGTTTGAGCTGGCATTAGCTGAGATATTTGTGCTAATACCTCTGCTCACTTATAAGTGATATCAAATCTTCAGTGATATCGTCGTCAGTCCTTACCCCTCAGTTCTAGATAAAGATGGCAGAGCATCAGTGCTTGCTTGGTGTGGTGGTAACCAGCTCTCTGCTCAATCGCTCCCACCATTTTGTGCAGCACACCCTTCTGCGTGCTGTTCACACTCCCCGCAGGAACTGGGGAGCGAGCTGCGTGCTTCCTGGGCTCGACATTCTTTTTAAGTGGTCTGACCCCAGCCAGAGTTCTTTGGATTTCTTCAGTGAGGTAGATTCAACTGGTTTGCTAAAAAGTCTCGACTTTTCTTCTCTGAAGACTTGTAAGTGTTCAGTATGTACTGTACAATTTTCTGATTCCCTATTTTTTTTTCCTGACAGTATAACAAACATCTATTTGTGCACATTGGGCAGTCAAGCCCCAGCTACAATGACCCCTACCTCGAGGCAGTGGATATCCGGCAGATCTATGACAAGTTCCCTGAGAAGAAAGGGGGTCTGAAGGAGCTCTTTGAAAAAGGGCCAGCTAATGCCTTCTTCCTTGTCAAATTCTGGGTAAGGGAAATTTAATGCAGGGGTGCTCATGTTGCAGGGTACCCATTTGCTGTCAAATTCTTGCTGTAAAAGTGATGGCCTTGATAGCTGTTAAATACTAACAAAGATGCAACAGGTTTGTGCCATGCAGGAGATTGTTCTTACAGCCACAGCTTCACTTGATTGCAAAAGGCCTGGTTCTGGTCTGGAGCTAGACAGATATTTCATGTGTTCTGTTCAGTTCTTCTTGGCTAGTGCTTGGGGATTGTAATTACTAATGGTGATTTGGGCCCTTTGAAATTTTTGTTTATGTGTAAGAGAAGAATTCAGAGGAAATTCTTCTCCTTTGCATTCTCTTTCTTCCTCAGTGTTAAGTAACTTAGAAGCAGCATTTTTGCATCTCTTCTCCTATCTAATTAGGCACTTGTGACCTAGTAGATATTTGCAAAACATGTGCCATTATGCTTCAGGATACAAGGAAAATACTTCTGGTTTTAGATATTATCATAGATATTACATGATTGAAAATAATAGCAGCTTGGGGCAATGGCAAGCTAGAGGGCTGAAGGGGTAATGGGATATGGAGACTTTCAGTTTACATTTACCACTTTCAATTCAACTCCAGGTCAGGAGTGAGATGACAAGAAAGGAGCTTTATCTCAATTTATGTTGCGTTTCACAGAAGTACTTTCATTAATCTTCCTGTAAGATTTTGACTAGGATCTCCTGGGCAATATAACAGAGACACTTTTGTGTATGTCTCTCCAGAAAATTCAGATTTCTTTTTGATAAAAATTCCGAACTTTTTTATTGGGAAACTTCTAATTCAGCATGCTTAAAATATTGTGGTAGTGCAGCCCCATGGTTAAACTAAGCATATGAGCCAAGCATCTAATGCATCATCCTACTTGTGTACCCTACCAAGGTTCCTGGGTCTGTTGCACTGTAGCACATACGGGTAGTGCAACTGCTGCCCAAAGGAGAGACTAAATCCTATGAAGCAGCAAAAACTGCAAGTCGCATGTGACATTATGTTGGTATTATCAAATACAGATTTATGGGGCCTTGACCAAATGCTTACTTTAGCCAAATGCTGGCTAAAAAACAAAAATGATATGTTTTCAAAAACTCGTTTTTTCACTTACACAGCTAAAGCCATATGGTCCGCAAATCCATTTTTTAATCTGAAAAACTGATTTCAGATGAATTATTATACATCTCTGTGTTTTTATGCTTCTGTGACAGGATATGCTAGGGTGTTTTTTCATTTTGTTTCCTGATTACTCTGTGCGACTGTTCAAATCTAGAGTTCAGATTCAAAGGTATGTTGGATAAAGCAATTACTATCATTTGTAGCATCCTTTTATCCTAAAAAATACTATGCAAAAGCAAATTAGTAACGCTTTTAAACTCAGACAGTAGAGTTGAAGGTTTTTCTGTTGAAAGTTGACCTTTGAATTTTTTTTTTAACATGGAGATACAATTTTGTTTTGTTTTGGTTTTTCTCAGAGGTTCTGATTTGAAGGAGTGGTTGCAGGTGGCAAATATTTAACCTTAAGACACTGCTTATGCTGGTTTTGTACTTGTATTTATATACTTCCGGTTTGAAGAGTTTGAGGCAAGGATGTTTCCTAACTGCACTCCACCTACTTAGAAAGACCATGTTTTAGGATTCTTGACATCATTAATAACACTTAAGATCTATGTGACAAAGAAAGAGATGTTCAATTTTGTTCAGCGATGCTTTGACTTTTAGCTGTTGTATAAAAAGAGTTGGTTAGTTTAGAACATGAGCACTGTTTCCAATTCTTCCCTGATGATTTTGGCGTTGGGAGTCTGTGGTACAATGAGCTACTCCTGGGCTTGGATTGGCAGGTTGTGTGTGACATCTCTGTGACATTTCTCTGTGCTCCAAGTGCATTCTAGCACATGACAATGAATGTGAGACATTAACTCCCAGCACATGGGCAGTGGCAGCTCTGCTCTTTTGCAGTGTAATGTTATCTCTGCCACCTGTTATTTGGCCCTCCCCACGAACTCCTCTTGCATGCATCATTATTAATAGTCAGGAGAAGAGGGGTTCTCAGGGCTTTGCACATTAGTGGAATGGTGCATTTGAATCTTAAAACTTTCAGAAGTTGTTGTGAGAGACTGGCTGGGAGATGGAAGGAAAATGACAAACCGGGAATTTAGGACAGACAATCCTTTGTCCAAAGCAGCCATCTGCAGAGGACTGTATCAGGGGAATTGCCTGGGAGACCTTTTCTACCAGTGATGACTATGCTTGTCAGCGACAGGCAAGCTAAGGAACCAGTCTAATCACTCAGTGGTCGCTTTTCCAGAAGGGGCTGGAGACTTCTGTCTTGCTCTTGCCTTCTCTCCCCTGCCTAGCAAACACAGTCAGAGCAGCAGCAGCAGTGCAGACTCCTCTGGGCATTCTGCCCTGCTCACTGAATGCCTTCAATCCTGCCCTGGCAGGAACTGCCTGCAGGGAAAGGGAATGGTAATTTAGTCTCCATGTCCATTCTGCCCTTGGCCTTCTACTGAGGCAGCATACAAGACAGCATTTAGCAACAGAGATTTTTATGATCTTTAGACAATTTTACTGAGGATGGATTGGAAAGTAGCCCATTACTTCCACCTGCATTTAACAGCACCACCTCCTTGCAGCGGTTCTCTTATGCAAAGAAACTCAAAAACAATGACCCTTTTCCACCAAAAGTGCTCCCCAGGGTGCTCTGTGTAGAGATGGTTGGCAGCAGAAAGCTTATTGAATTGCTAAGGTATCTGTCCTCTGGATTCAAACTGACACAGTCCTGAGGGTCTAGCTGAGTTGCAGATATCCTGTGGGTTGCGAGGTCTTTTGCTGTCTTTGGCTAGCTCAGAGGCTGCTCCCTTTTTCTTTTCTTAGTGCTTGAAGCTGCATGAGTTTTGGACCATTCTTCGAGCCAAGAGTTGTTCAGCACGCTTTCCACTGACCATGTGGAATTTGTGTTGACCTGCATACTTGACTCAAGTGCAAGACATCTTCATGGCATGGTTTCTCACAGTATTAACTGCTATTTGGATCCAGTCACCACTTTTCAAAGCCTCGATGACTGAAGCCTGGTTCTCAGAGGTCATGTTTTCTTCTGAGAAGATGAAAAATGTAATGCTAGCTTGTTCATGATTACCTTGTCCTTACCTGAACAAATCACTTTTTTTCCCCATCTTGTCTGACAGATATTAAAAAAAAAATTTGTTTGTCTGGAAGGGAAGAACTCTCACGTGTTTTCCCTAAAACAAGCATATTGGGTCTCTTGCATGCAGTCTGTAGATATCTGAGATGCAGCAGTGATTCTAGTGTCAGCATTCTTGTAACTCATCAGACAAACTGTGGGACAAGTATCTGTGCTGGGCTTGCACAATAAATTAAATGCATCCCAGGCACATCAGATGACTATTATGAGCTAACTAAAAGTATGTACATCTGTTTGCATCTTGATTTTCTTGGACAGAAATGCAAAAACCCTGACTTGCACAAATAAAGTAGTATGGTTCAGTTGGTGGCTCACGAGTCACATAAGGCCTGTAGTCTCTTCCTTTCTTTTGCCCTGTTACCTTTGCTCTTGAGGAGATGGAAAACAGCTGTTGGAATGCTGGACACCCCTCAACCAGATGAATGCTTCTTCTGCCTCCACTGCAGTCCCACTGTGCTGCTAGCAGTGCCTTGCAGGACCTGGGCGGCAAAGCAACTCAGTGCTGTAGCTAGGGGCTTTTCCAAATCCTGGCTGTTACTCCTTTGGCTGCCTGGTTTGGGATAAGGAACACGCTATAGAGTTAATTTCTTATTTGGTGAACAAAAAGAGCATTAGATGGTGAGGCACTGAGAAGTCTAGGTACTACTCTGCCAAGTCTGAATCACATGTAGAGTTCTGTTTTCAACAAGTCTATGAATTCCAAGGCTGTAAACTAAGGATTGACCTTCCTACTTGCTGAATTGCTGGGAAGATAAATTGACTTCAAATCATTGTCACTAATATTATTAATATTAACATTATCAATATTATTCCTTTCATCTCAGAAGAATGGAATGTATTGGACAGAGTAGAGTAGACCTTTCTCTGCTCCGCGTTGTGCCTGGTACAGACTGGGCAGGGAGGTGCGTTGGCAGGATTGGGTATGGTTTGGAATAAACTTTCCTATAGAGAAGAAAACTTTCAAAATGCAGAGAAAGGAGGAGGCCTTTCCTCAAAGCAGCAATGGTCCTGCTGGCCTAGGTGTTGTGAGAAACTCATAGGTAATCTGAGCATGATGTCTGTAGCATTTGTAGATGCTACCTTCAAAGCAATAGCTCATTTGTCTATTAAAAGACCCAAGATATGCAGTAAGATTTTGTCCTGGTGTAATACTGGGAAGTTAAAACCATATCTATTTGGGACTTATCTGAGTCTCCCAGGTTTATCTACACCATTATCTGCCATAGACAAAAACAACCTGGCCACATTTACAGGTTGTTTTTGTCTATGGCAGATAACGGTGATACTTCTTTCAGTCTTTGCGTTCCCAGAAGTAGTCACCTCCATGGCAGGAAAAGCTGAACAAGTTGTTGTTCCACTCCTGAGCTTCTGCAATTCTTTGGTCATTGTAATCATATATGTCACTATCATTTTCATTTTACATGAATAAACCAGGCTGTAAGCAATTCAAGTGCAGATATGTGTGCTAAATCATCCCTCTTGCAGGAACAATAACTTCCATTAGAAGGTGGAAGCCATCAGCTTGGGACAGTATCTTATCTATCTGAGGTGCTGCAGCTCCATTTCCTGCAAGCACTAATTGGAACACTTGGCTGTCTGCTCTTATTATTTTCTGGACTTACTGAAATGTCCTGCATATGTGTTTATGCACTGATAACTTCAGAGACCAGAGAAGGAGATGCGTGCCCCACTTTTCCTGACTGACTCCCTAAGACATATCTGAAAATCCTAGCCCATACTATTTAAAGTGCTTTGGAATAAAGGGTGCAGTGTAAACACCAGGTGGTTCAAACACGATCCCCTTGCTTCGCTGGGATAGGGCTCCCAGGGAAACTGGAGGTAATGTAAGCGGATGGTGATGACTGCTTAATTCAAACAATATTACTTCCAATAATTTTGCTTCTTGCCAAATAGTTTAATGATGATTAATTAAGTGTTAATTAGGTGTGAAATTCTACAGGTTGATCTTTCTGTGGGAGACTTGCCAACTTGTGGAGGCACCTGCAGTGGCTTCTTAGGCATCTTCTGTCAAGCTTCTCGTGAAGATCTTTCTGCTTTACCTCATATTGACTACACTTGTTTTTGAATTTACCATATTTAAAAGTTCATGGGAATGTGACCCTGATTTTATTGGTGAGAACCTAAAAACCTTTGGGCGGTTCTGCAGTGACAGCCTCCTGTATGTTTACATAGCTGTGGTCAGACCAAGCTATTGCTTGCTCTTGGTAGCCTTGCCCCTTTGCTCTTTTGACTTAGGGGGGCAATTCATTTGGAAAGTGGGATTTGGTCCATCCTTATCACTTAACCCCCAAGAAAATACCTTAGCAATATTGTAAAGTACTCCCAGTCTAGTTCCTCTTTGGAGAAGGGGAAGGATTAATCTTTATTCACACAGTTGAAGTGTGGGTCAAGTAAACAATCCAACGAGCTGTATTGTTACAGAAAATGAGGCATACAATAGCCTGATAACACCTAAACCAGCATATGCATATGTATACATATTTGTGGTGGGAGCAAAGCAGCTGGATGAGCTAATAGTGGGGAACATTTGATAGGAAGGACTTCAACATGAGCCATAGAGAATTACTCGGCAGCCTGAATAATGAAATCTGTAGGACTTATAGGAACAAGCTTGTGCCTTGTTCCTGTTAGTGCTTGTGCTACTGAGTTATAGCTAACTTGCTATAACTTGCCACATAAGCTCCAGATGTAAGCGTGCACAAGCCATGGGAGAATGACACTGCATTAGTCTTTCTGGTGGTCATGCCAATGTGAAGATTCCAGTTTTCCAACCACTTGTTTCCAAATCTTGTGGAGATGCTATCACTGCCTCAGTGGTTCCAATCCAAATGATACAAAATGATTTAAAAATCATAAAGATAAAAGTTAAACCCAAGCTGTTTTATTTATGTGGTTTGATCTGTGGGCTCCAAATCTGTTTTCAACACAGGGACAAGGTAGAAAAGTGTCAGGCCAAGAAGGGATAATATGGCAAGAGAAGATAAGGACATATTCAGCTGGATTGTTTAGTGAAACTATCTCCTATGGAGAAGCAAATATGAGCAAAACAAGAAATTATCAACTTTGTACTACTATCCCCTGATAAATCAAAGGGTACTCTTCAGCATGCAGTATAGGAGCTGACAAGTAGAAGACATAGAAGAGATGGGTTCAAAGCTGCTGTAAACTGGTGTGAGTCTGCTGTTTGAGTAGAATCAAGCTGATTTACAATAGTTAAATATTTGTCACTCCTTCAGAGGAAAAGATTCTGCTTCAGAGGTGAAATCACAGGAAAGATGACAATTGGATTTCTTTCACCCCTAATCCATGGTGAAGATAATGTATGTGGAAACTGTTGGAAACAAGAATATGTCATTTTGAAGAGGTATTTGTGATCATGTAGTTATACCTTGCTGTTATGTTCTCATAACAGCCTAGTATGTCATCTGTATTAGTGTCAGAGTGAAACCTGTATGTTCATCCCTAATGCTGCCAGCCAGTGTTAATCATAGAAATCACAGAATCCTTAAGGTTGGAAAGGACCTATAGAGATCAGCTAGTCCAACCCCCCTGCACACACAGGGTCACCTAGAGCACGTGGCACAGGACTGCATCCAAGCGGGTTTTGAAGATCTCCAGAGAAGGAGACTCCACAACCTCTCTTGGCAACCTGTTCAAGTGCTCTGTCACCCTCACTGTTAAAAATTTTTCCTTAAGTTCCTGTGGAGCTTTTGGTGTTTCAGTTTGTGGCCATTACCTCTAGTTCTAGGCAGATTCTAGATCTAGGCAGATGTTCTAGATCCCATTCAGTCATTCTTTTATCTCACCTGGATTGAACCTGGCTACAATTAACCAAGTCCAATAACTGTTAATTCAAGAGGTATTATTGGTGATACACTGCTCACTGTAATGACTTTCTGTTTTGCAAGTCTTCTGCTCTCACATTCATTTGCCCTAAGAAGCAGTCCTGCACTTAATTTCTCACTGCTGTCCGTCCTGTCAAAGCATGCTCGTAGTGTGAATAGACACTGGCATTTCTGAACCCAGTCTCGGACCTGATCCCACTGAGAAATAACTGAGCAGTTCCTCAATTTTGTGCTACACCTGCAAAAAATGTTCCTGCCAGTACAAGAGGTATGGGGAGGCACCAACGGCTGTGGGACAGTGAGACTGCTTTTGGTGGCAGAACCACCTTGGCATTCATCAAACTGCAGCTTTGAGGAATGAACTTTGCAAAAGGCTGAGCCTGTGCTGCTATCAAAATAGGCAGCCTTGCACCCTCAGCTTTTGTGTGTGTGTGTGTGCTCACCCCTTCCTGCCCTTGCAGACATGTGGGGATTGAGGTGAGCTTTCTTGAATGCCTAACCCACCAAAACCACAGCAAAACAGAACAAAGCATTTCGGCTGCAACCAGCTCTCTGATCTGGCGAGTTGAGGAGTCGCACGATTGCTGGTGGTGGCACAAGGACAGCAGTAGGCAGGTGTGGCTGTGTATGGGCAGGCAGCAGGATTGCTGCTTTCTATCAGCAGCACAGGTGTAGGCTGACAGAAACCCCTTGTGAAATGGCCGCTTTAGAGAAATAAGCTAACAGCAGTGCCGAAACAGCATTGTAGAGAAGGTCAGGTCATGTGCCTGGCAAAGAAAACATCGTCTATCTTAAAGGCTGCTCTAGATTTCGGATTAAAAAACTTTCCAATGACACTGTATAAGAAAAACATGCTATAATTGCGTTTAATACAGAGTCCTTTTCACTGTGGACAGGGCAATAGAGCAAGGACACTGTGTCCGTCAGTTCAGCCGGAAGAATAGAACAGACGGAAAGAACCCAAGGGGACCGGTCATCGGATTTCGGGTAGTGTGATTTAGCACCGGAGCTTACTGAGTACAGACAAGCACCGCCCTCCTAGGTTTGAAAGGAGGGAAAGCCGAAACGGCCTTCCCGCCTGCTTGGAGCTCCGGGCGCAGGGAAATGTCGCCGCTCTTCTTTCCTCAGGCAGGGCTGGACTGACCCCTGCTGGAAGCTGCAGGGAGCCGCATATTGGCGTTAGGGAGTTACCTCTCAACATCAGGCTTCGACGGTGGGGACCTGCGTTTGAAATGTGGCTTGCCCATCCGGCTGGGTGGAGCTGGGTTGGATCCACCAGCAAGTTGCCTTCCTCACGTTGCATCCTCTCTTCTTATATTCTTCATAGCATAGTCGGGTTCACCGGATCTAATGCTCTTCCCTCACTCCCATTTTCTTCCTCCTTGCTCCCTTTCGCCTCATCAGCATTTCCAGTGGTGGTGGTTGTGGGGTTGGAAATCACAAAAAACTATTACAGTTGCTGTGCTCTTAACTTTCCTCCTTTTTCTTCTGTGGGAGGGAGCACAGTTGAGCTTATCTGGCACATTGCCCTGTCTGCTGCACGTGTGCATCTACATGTCATTCTGGCACATGTTCCATGATGGTAAATATCAGTTAAGGCATCAGACTATGTCATAGATTTTTAAATATCAGAGTTTTCTTCAGCATGTATGCAAATCGTCATCACCCTTTTTTCAAAGTGGGAACTGGATTTTACTATTTATTTATTTTTATTTCATCTACTTTTTTGATACTTGTTAATGATTATAGAGCTTTGGGCACTCTAATACCTTCCCATCCTGGCCAAGCAAAACTCTTTTAGGTCGTGGTAATGACCACCGCACATGAGAACAATCTATTCTTATTGCCTTTTTTTCTTTTCCTTCTTCCTTTTGCAGGCTGACTTGAACACCAAAATCGAAGATGAATCCGGATCTTTCTATGGCGTTTCCAGCCAATATGAGAGCCCTGAAAACATGGTCATTACCTGTTCCACTAAAGTATGCTCCTTTGGAAAGCAGGTGGTGGAGAAAGTGGAGGTATGCAGCAGCCGCCTGGATGCAAGGCTCTCTCAGGGCTGCTGCAAGTACTTGCATGCTGCATATATCTCAAGGCAAAATATATCCCATGCTTTTTGTTGGGGAGATGGACTGGAGAAGCACTGACATTCATGCCGTAGATTGTTATTTCTGAGACATGCAGGTGTAAGAATGCTCCAGCCTGCAACATAACCTTTTCTCAAGACTTCATTGAAGGTCTGGTACTGTTTGCTGTTTTTTTTTTTCCCTTAAGTCTCAGTTTCTGAAGACATGTGAATACATGAGACTCATTTTTTTGGGGGAGCAGAGAAAAGCTGGGAAAGGTAGGCTCATGTCTTTGTAGTCCAGAAAGCAGAAAGCAAGTAGACAACACCTCATTCTCATCAGTGGTTTTAAACAGATCATTTATAGGGTTTAGTCACAAATTAATAGAGTGTAATAACTTATAGACTATATAGAGAGACTATAGATTTATTGTTTCATGAGGCTTATATTAGTACTTGCAGTGCTTGTATACTTATAGCTCTAGCAACAGCAGGCTGCTTATTTTTATACATGTATATATGGCATTGAATATATTCTTCTTTCCGATGCCAGATTCACTTGCTAAGAAAGAGAGCTGCTCTGACCTGCTCCTTGCTGTCTTCTTAAGGAGCCTCTATGTGCTGAAGGAGAGTTTTGTTCACAAAGCTGCATTCTAGTGTCAGTAGTCAACTCTAAGCTACATTCTTCCCTAGGACCCATCTCCAGCCACATGATAGGCCTGCCTGAACTCTGGTTGTGAATTTCTATGTGGTCATAAGATGGGATACATAAGCCAAGGAAGGGTATCAAGGTGCATGAGAGAGGACATCAAGAATGAAAGGAGGTAAAAGGCATTTAGGGAGTTGCTGTGAAGTGATACAATCCAGTGTCAGCTTCTGGCCTTGCTGAGGAAGACTGTACAGGAATGATTAATCGGCTCATTACCTGTAGTAAAATGACTTGAAAATGTGGAGGTAATTTTCCTGTTCTGAGTCCCTTTGTGAGATTAATGTGATAACGTTGATCCCCCATGCCCTTTTTCTGTTTTATGTTGCAGACTGAGTATGCACGCTATGAAAATGGACACTATTCCTATCGCATCCACCGCTCCCCTCTGTGTGAATACATGATTAACTTCATCCATAAACTTAAGCACCTCCCTGAGAAGTATATGATGAACAGTGTGCTGGAGAACTTTACTATCTTACAGGTGGGACATCAAATTGGTTTTGCTGAAGTTTGGAGACATGAAAGTCTCATAAGAGTTCACAGTTTTAAGTCAAAGCAGATTTCCTTTTACAACTTAGTATCTAACTGAACTTAGTCTCTCTCATGCAAATTGCACCTCAGGACAATTTATAGATCTCTAGAGAGCATAGCTCACACAGAGAAGCCACAGAATAAAAAAAGAGAGATTTGAGTAAGAGCAAGAAAGGAAAGATGAAGGGAGAATTGATGAGACAGATACAGGAAGGAGGAGCATGCAAGAGTTGCAGTAAGAAAAATTCTTGTTCCATTATTAGACAGACATTGAGGCCCCCTTTGCAAGGTGAAAAACAAGAATGCTATCAAGCAGCCATACAGTTTTGACATAGAGAAAATTCTCCATCCTTAGCAGGTATAAGAAAAAGGTTGCTTCCTCGGGTCAATCCTGAACCTGGAAGGAATGTAGAGGAAGGAGCATGTTACAAGAAGCATTGAGGCACCATCATGAAGTACTGCAGACTCTAGCTATAGCAGTACTATAAGGCTACCCTGGCTACATTTCCATTATTGTCTATGTAGCCTTCCCAGGCTCTGGAAAGCCAAAATGAAAGAAGAGGTCAAAGATAGCTTAAAAGGTATGTTTTCTTAACGGACTGTGAGATCGTGGCCGAGAGAACCTGAGGTTTGATAAGTGGAAGAAATGCTAGAAGCTCTGTGAAAGAATAGAAATGATCATTCCATCTGTTGAAGATCCTGTGGGACTTCAGGCAATTCATTTCACTGCCGTATGGTGCAGGTATTTCCACTATACAGCAAGGTGAATAGCACCTGTTAACCCCACGGGGCTTTAGAAGGCTTTGCTTTTTCATGTTTGTACCAACCTCTTAGTGCCTGGAAGAAAAGATGAACGCAAATTTTATGATTTTTTTTTTCAGGTGAGCAAAGGCATGAAATGGGCAGAGCAAGAAAGATGAAAGGCCTGTGTGCTGTGTAATTCATACTGAGGAAAGCTGCAACTGCTTTCTGCACACATCATTCCTCAGCCAGGCCTAGGCTTCGTCTAAATTTATGAACGAAGTTGTCATATAGATATACTTCCTTTGGGACTTTATTCTGAATAATCTCATGCCCTACTCTTACCTGCAGACACAGAGAAACGTATTTAATGCGGATGCTGGCGTGGCCTTTCACGTATTTCTGATGTAATCTTGCAGTCCTGTTCCCTGAGTGGCAGGCTGAGAATTTTCCACCCCCCAACAGATTGCTGAGAAATGGTCATGCTTAATGCAAAGCATGCTGCTAGTCCTGGGTTCTCACTGCCATGTTCTGAGGCAAGTCTGATTATATTTTTGCTAGACACTTTTATGAGTTTGGATACCACTGCACTCTCAGTCATAGTCTTATCATGCTTTGCACATAGCTCTAAATCTAAGGCTGAGATTTCAGAGCCCATTTTGGTGCAGATTTTTGGATGGGGCTTGGGTGCCTTACCATTCCCAGATGCAGACAATTCAAAACTCTGTCTGCAGTGGGAAGAAGTGTTAGTCCAGCTGCAAAGCCAATCATAAAGAATAAAGAATAGACTAAAATCAACTGCTAAAATGAATAAGCTTTTGAAAGCATCTGTTTTCTCTCTGAATGAGGGTGGCTGTGCTTTGGTGCAGTACAGGCCTCCAGCTGGTATCCTTTTCTTCTGCAGATGAGTTGGTACTACCGCTCATCAATTGTTGCTCCTCCAGCAGGAAAGAACTGCTTGAGTCGTAAGCTGAGGCACCAGCCCAAATTATGAGAGTGTGCAAAGATCTGTGGTGTCAGATGTATGGGAGAGAGAGGAGCTGAGCTAGAAGCTCTGGGTGTAACATTTCACCTGTGGCTGCTCTGTAGTCTAGGCAGTGCTTCTGAGGCTTAGACAGCACTGCTCCATCGCCAGACTGCGCTGCTGTTCAGTGCCACCACGGTGGGTTGCAGAGGTTGCCAAGGTACTGCAGAGGAAGAAATGCAAAAGGAGAAGCAAGCTTCTGTAAGAGTACCTGGGTGTAATGGCCAGTATTCTCCTGACGTCTACAGCGTGCGGAATGGGAGGTGTAAAGGAGTCCAACTTGCTTGTCTCCTATGCTGAGAAATACTCTGTGATCCTCACAGAGCAGACGTGCTGCAGCAGATGACATCTCAAAACCCAAAGAACAGAGCAAAGAGAGTTTCTCTACAAAGCACTTTCTCACTCCTGAAATCCGCAGCAGGAAGGGGTAGGGAGGCCGGGTCTGTCTCAGGAAGGGGCGCTGTCTCTTCTAGCAAAGGAAGGACATGCTTACTCTAAGAGAGGATGACCTTTCCTGGGCTGAATAAACCCACTTCCCTGTCTTTAGTCACTGCTTGATCTCAGTTTTCTTTCTGCCATGTTGGACTCTGCTCACCTCCCAATCTTTTTGCTGCACTGTAGTCTTGATGTTTGGAAAGGCTTAGAGGGCTTCCCCTGCTGCGTGTGTGGGCACTTGAGTTGGGGGTGGTGGCAGCTGAGCTATGTATCATTCCAGATGCTTTATTTTTTGCCTATTATTGACTTTTTGCTCTATGTTAAATGTATTGGAATTTGTAAGCAGCGCAATAGCAGTTGCCGTCTCAGCTTCCTCTCCATTTCTGTCTTAGGTTGTGACAAACAGGGACACACAAGAGACCTTGCTGTGCATAGCATATGTTTTTGAGGTGTCAACTAGTGACCACGGTGCCCAGCATCACATCTACCGACTGGTGAAGGACTAGACTCTCTGCCCCAAGTCATCCATGGGATATATGCCTGAGGAAAAGCTGATGCTTGAACACCCCAACCCCCCAATATCAAATCAAAAAATAAACTGCAGATATTGTGTATTTTCAGAAAAGCACCTCTGAGCTGTTTTATGACTGAGAGGGCCAAATAAGTTTGTGTCTCCAGGTTTGTGCAAATGGGAAAAAAACTTGGAATTGAAGAAACAGGCAAATAATTGCATAGGGGCTTCACTGCAAACAACATCCACTGGGATGTATCTCCCACTCTGGGAAACCAGGCCTCAGAGCAGGCACCAGGTGTGATCATGCAGATGAAAAGACTGGTATGGACCTGGGCTTGCTGCTTTGGCAGTGGTAGCAGCTTCCACTAAAGGTAGACCACTGAAGTACTGGTTGAAAGGTGCGTGACATGCCTGCCCTTGGTTTGTGTATGGGCACTTGTATGCATCCATTCGTAAGTCTACACATGCAGAGACATGCTTTCCGTATGTATGTACAGGTTAGTGTACAGTTAGACGTGCATGGGTATATGGGTGTGTGTGTAGAGATGCACATACACATCCGCCTGTCTAGCTATACCTTTGCAGATGGACAGTCACATTATCCTTCAGCTATACTGTTGATGGCGCCTGGACATAGTTTTCCTTTCTTCCTGGCCCAAGAATACTAACCATTTTTTTCTGTCTTTAAAGCTGCTCTTTAAAATGCAGTTGTGCTTAGAAAATTGTGTGTGTTAAATCATGTTGTCCTTCCAGCAGATTTCCTCCATCTGTTAGATCTGCTGACTTGAGTGACTAAGTAATTTATCACTGCTTTTGCCCCTGTTGTCCCTGTGCAGCTCAGGAGATAGACACTGCTCTTTCTTTGTGCAACAGCAAAATAATGCACAGAGACAGAATTTGGCACAGAGACAGAACTCACTGGCACATGAGATGTACATTGGTAGAAACCAAAGGACTTATTGGAATGCCAGGAGGTAAGTACTTGAGCCACAGGTAGATGAAACCTGACCTCTCTGAAGAATTTCTGAGCTCATTAGCTCATTAGCCCCATAGCCACATCTGTCTCAATCAACTGCTAAAAGGGTGCCCTAGGCTCCCTGAAGATGCTATTCAAATCCTCCCATAGCATTTGTAGAGGCCCACAGGCCTACATGTCTCCTCCAGATTTCTATCCATCTTCCTGACATTTCTTTTTTTCTTTTTTTTTTTTCTGGTTTTGTAATATGTGCTCATTTACCAGGTACTCCAGAAATCTCCTCATAAACTGGCACTCATTTCCTCCGGGTTTAAATCCCAATTCTCTTTAAAATTTTAAACTCCTATAGAATGTTCTTACCATGTTTTATGGAGTTAAATTAATCCTTTAAGAACATGAAGATCTAATTCTCTACTGGGCTTTTTCACAATTTTAGGTGAATATCCCCATTCTCACTGAAATTCATGAAAAATGCTTAGCTAGTCATCTTACAGCGTGAATTAGTATCACTGTTACTTGGCACACCAGATTCTGAAGGTGGGAGTTCCTTTACTGAAAAACTTGTGTTTTTAAACGCAACCTGATATGTACCAAATCATCTCCAAAGTCCTCACTATGCTCAAAGCACCCATATGTTATAAGAACGTCTGTCACCACTTCTTCTATTGCTTTTAATAGTTACTTCAGTCACATCAATTGCACCTAATTGGGGTTCTGTGGCTCCTCATCTCTTTTTGCAATCTGCTATCTTAGATGTTTGTTTCAATTAAGTCACTTATCAGTTTCATGGTAAATTTTCGATGAATTATTTTTTTTTTTACCAGCTGTGCTCTCATTATCTTCCTTACCAAATTCCTAACTGTTCTTCATCTTACTCAACTTAAATGAGTTCTGGACTCATGAGTTATAGCCTGGACTTACCTGGATAATGGTACTACTCCATGTAGTTCTTGTGAGGATGAACCTGCTAATGCCTTCATATTATCATGGTTTTATTTTGAAGCTGCCAGCAGGAACAATTGTCCTCTGCTACGCAGTAAGCATAGAGAAACATGCAATGGTCCCTTCAATGACCTAAAACCTTTAGTGTTCCCCTTGCTTTTCACTGGCTGACAGTCTTGTGTTTCCTTCAATGAATGTTGTGCAACCCACGTGTAGAACCTGCCAGGCCTATAATACTTTCTCCAGCATAGTATAAACCTTGCAGTCCTGCATAGTACTTAATCTATGATCGTAAGTTTCAACACAGTCTTTCCTGATGCCATGTTGCAGCTGGGTCCTATGATTCCCACGAGCACATCCAAGTCATATCCAAGTAACAAAAAGAAACACACTACTAAAATTTAACTCATAAATCAAGTAAGTTAGACAAGTTTATTACAGTAAACTTTTCATATGGGATCTTCTAATTTTTTTTCTGAAGTATGGGTTCACACTGGTATGGCTTTTAGCAGTTAGATATAAGGAAAGAACTAGAAGATCATCAGTTAAGACAATGCTAAATTACTCTGATTTGTACTGAAAAGATAGGCCCATTCTCTTAACATCTTCATCAGTGACCTGGAGGAAGAAGAAAACACAAGGCTAAATAAATCTGCAGGTGGTACTGAAGGAAGATTTTGTCCATTGAGTAGGTAGAACTATAACAGTGATTTGAACTCTATTAACTAGGCTTGCACTAGGAGGATGAATGAGAAGGGTGATGTGAAATATAATTTTAAATGTTCTTATAAGCAGACAGATGACAACTGAAAGGTAAGTTAGATAGAGATTTCAAGTGGAAGACCGAAATATGGTTACTTGCAAAGCCCTTCTGGATGTGATTTTCATGCGATTGCCATTTTGGTACTCAGGTAAGCACAAGCCACACCAGTACTAACCTAATGACACACAGACTTGCTTGGGGTCCTGCATCTCTGGAGCCTGCATGGGCCTGGATACTCAGTTTGATGTGAAGGAGGAGCTAATTGCCTTTTCCCTTAAGTTATTGCATGCCAGTTGCTCTGTTTTAGCTGCCCAAGTACAGGTTTCTACCTATGTGTAGGACGGCCCTCATAGGTATGAGGCTTTACCAGCCATTCTGTAGAGCAGCTGGCATGTGCTGGTATATTCCCATGTGAGGTAGCAGCTCCTACACCTTTTCTGTCATGCACTGTGCACTTCTCTGCTTGGGACCTCCATCTAGGTCATAACTTGTGCTTTGTAAGTGAAGAGAAGAGCAAACCTGATGCTGTGAAGTTGGAGCTAGGAAAAGATGGTTTGATTTTTGTGATGGGAAGAGGGTCTATTTTAATACGCTGATGGGATCTTCCTCTGATCTTGCAGATCTTACACTGCCAGTGGCTGCTTCTAAGGAATGTGTGAGTAGTGGCTGGTTTATTTTCTCTGTGCAGGAGCCAAAACTGGCTAGAGAGGAGAGTGCTACTTTTTGCACCTATCTGCCTATGCAAGAGGCACCTCCTGTGGTTACACTCTCCAGCACCCACAAGCACTTTCTATAGCCAGCTTCCAAATGACAACACAAAACTGGCAGGCTTTTGACAGTCTTCTGCATTGCATACTGCCAATACCTTTCCATAAGAACTGGTATTGGCCCTGGTAACCAAGCTTCGATAAAAGCAAATCAAGGTATATGGATTGAAACATCCAGAAAACACAGCATTTTGAAATACCTGATGTGTTAACATAGCTGGAGCGCAGATAGGTCAAGGTCTGTCGGTCAGGTATCACCGCTTATCACAGCGGCAGAATCACACAGCACAGACCTAATTACCTGCATGTCTGTAGGCCCCAGCCCCACACTCAGCCACCCAGGTACAAACAGCACCAAATAGGTAGAGCTCACTAGCTGTGCACACACCTGCTCTTTTCAGCCCTATGCAGTTCCCTCCTTAATCCCCAGAAGGTGGTACACACAACAAACCAAATATAGCTCAACAATAGGAAAAAGACTGACTCAAGGGAAAATACATTGGGCAAACACAGCAAATTTTGCAATTTTTGGACAGCAAATATGGTTTGAAACTGAAGCTTGTACAGAAAAGGGGCAGTAAGTCGTCCCCAGAAATGGAAAACTGCTTGTAACGTGTTGAGGCTCTGCTGCAGACATGCACCTGGTGCACCTGAGTGCACTGCAGGTTTGCACTGGCACAGCAGACCCAGTGAGGGAGTCCAGAGAGATGGATCCTATAAGTCTGCTTTGTCAAGCATCAATAAATAAGACCAAACTCACATAACTCTAAGATGTTATCAAAACCAGGAATGCAGAGAACAGGCTGAACAGCTCAGCAAATGGAGGGGGCATGTAGCAGTAATGAAAGCTTCTTCCCTGGCACTCCTCTCTTCTCATGCCCGTAGAGTTCATGTCTCTTTCATGTCAATAACTGGCATTGGCAATAGACTTCTACTTACCTTCCAAACTAAGAAGGGAAATGAACAGAAAATTCATTACTTTTCTGGAGCGCTGCCAGATGAAGTATATTTAATAGAACTGCATTATCCATGAGCCAGAAGGAAGACCGGAAATTCTGACCTGGACTAAAGGGCTTCTCCCCCTTGCAGACTGAGTGAGATACATGCATAAATACTTCAGGAATTGAAAGGACTGGAGATCTCTGCCCCCAAGGCTTGCTTTCTTGCTTTCCTGGAAGATACAAGTTGGCAAAAAGTCAGTTGCAATTCTGCTGAAAATTAGTCGAAGTAAATACAAGAAAAGCAACATGTTATAAAAGACCTAGCCCAGCTTCAAGAAGAAAAGCTAAATTATATTCATAACAATCAAAAACATACTAGGCTGTCAGAGAATCTTATGAGCACAATTTTTGTTGAAACATGGATATGCTCTTGGTAAATACTAATCTTAAACTGTTGTGAATTTTTCTGTCTCTCCTTGAGTTTTGCATCCTGGCTTTGGCCTTTAGCACAATGGTTTCCCAATGATTTTTTCTTCCCCATTATCCAATCCATTTTCCCTTGACTCTTCAACATTTTGGACCTGTGCAAGAGGAAAAGAACTTGGTTGGTGACAGCAAATATTTGTTGTAAAAACAAAAGACAGAGCACCAAAGCCATTTTCCCTGATCACTTTACAACCACAGCATGAAGCATTAGAAGATGAGGTGACAGAACCAGAATCTAA